TTAATGCCAAGATTTTTATTGCTGGTAACATTTTTTTTCAAGAATTTATTGCTGTTAATATTTTTTTTCCGAAATGTATTTCTGGTAATTTTTTTTCAGAAATGTATTGCTGGTAATAATTTTTTTTTCAGAAATGTATTTCTGGTATTTTTTTTCAGAAATGTATTTCTGGTAATATCTTTTTCAGAAATGTATTTCTGGTAATATTTTTTTCAGAACGGTATTTCTGGCAATATTTTTTGTCAAAAATGTATTGCTTGTAGTAATGTATTTCTGTTAATATATTTTCCAAAAACATATAGCTGGAAATTTTTTTTTCCAAAAATATATTTCTGGTAAAATTTTTTCAAAAATTGTATTTCTGGTATTAAACCTATTTTACACTTTCATATTGTTTTGACCCACCTTTGTGGGTTAACTATTTGCCTATAACTGGGACCCGTAACTGGTGATACCATCTCGGGAACACCAGTGATTATGATGTGCTTTCACCCTCCTCAGAACCTCATGATCTGATTCGTTGCTGCCGGATGTAGTTTATCGTCAAACCCAAGACATGGGTGTAGTTTACCGTCATACCCAAGACACACGGAGAGGGTCAATGGGAGTTTAAGTTAAAATATATAAAGTATTGAGGAAAGGAAAAGTGGTGAAATTGTTTCAAGAAGATAGAAAATGGCGCTGGAGGATGCATATAAATGTTTGGAAATTGTTGTTATCAGGGAAGCAAGGAAACGGAAGAGGGTTTTTGGGGCACCAAGGGAAAAAAAAAGCTCGTCAGAGCAGTTGCCATGAAAATATTTGTAGAAAAGACGGTGTAAAACCACATCCCGCCGCTGAGAATGTGACTGAAGTCGAGATGCTCCGTCAGGTTCGATTGCATTACAGATCGTTCTTTGGATTTTATCAAAAATCTCTAAATGTACAGCAGGAACACTAGACCAGATGTGGCAACAGTGTCCAGTGCCCGGACAAATGGTAGATTTGTAAATGTGCAAGATGGATTCTGACGAGAAAGAATTCTATCAAGACACTGTCACCGACGTTCCTTGTAGCAGATGCAGCTGTTGATTCTATATAGTCGGTTAACTTCAAGTCAGTTGAAATCAGGTAGACAGAATGTTTCAGTGTGATAAGCTCGTGGAGGCTAGGGTCAGCTATGCTGATGGCAGGCAGAAAAGTTGCTGAAATATCGTTGAATCTATCTCTTTTTCTCTCGCTATGGCATACGGCCATATCATGTTGAAACACCGGTTCCCGTACCTCTAGTTTTGGAATGGTATTAATCCACCTCTTCTCTTCCCAGATATGGTTTAATTGATAAGACCAGAATCAAAAAATCATCATTATACATAAAAAAGTATTCTTACAATCCAAAGATATTTTTGGCTTTAAATAACCAGCAAAGGTGTGATAAACCATAGAAAACGAATCAGTCAATCAATTCTTCCGTTATGGATAAAATCGCAAAGAAAACTGGCCTCTCTAAAGTTGGCTGGTAACCATTCTAGGAGAATGAGAACTCTGACTTCAAAATCGGTTAGACGTAGAACTGTCAATTCGACAAATTCTTGCGACAGAAAACAATGCTGCAAAATCTAGCTTGGTGAGGCGGTTGTTCTCTCATTCATACGGAAATCTAATGACATTGGGCTGGATGAGGTGATTTCCTTATAGTTCCTAAAATATTTCACACTTGCCCGTTGCTGCCATGTTTTATCCATCTTTATTCTCAGCATTCACCTGTCGTACGACATCTTCGATTTCCTTTTTTATCTCTGAAGAAACTGTCACGGATTTATTACCAGACATCTCTACAGATTTTATATATCTGTTCAGGTCTCTTTTTCTAAGGACATCTTGTTATATCTTAATATTTACTTAGTACCACTATCTTGTAAAATTCTAATTAAGCGAACTTCCATAGTGATGAAGGAAATCTTGAAGACGATATCTATATTAGTATAGGATATCCATGCGCTTTCTCAGACTAACATTCTCTGCTGAAACGAAGTGGAAAGGTGATATTGAATCAATTGCTGAGTCTGCTGTTAGGATATTTGGTTCACTGTATCGTGTTAGACATTTTTTTTCTCCAGAATCTCTTACATATTTAAAAAGTATTGTATATTTCTGCCACATATTATCTCGTGCTTCTGCTATATAATTCGAGATCCTTGATAAAATCCAAGTTTCTTTTGGTTTGTCAAAGCAGCTAGTCTTCAGTAAAATTTCCACATTCGTTTTGTAGTTTTTCTGTGACTTTTCTATAAAATTCTCATGTTAATTGTTCGAACGAACCTTTCTCTTTGGTAACCGTAAGTTCTATCCCGACAGTTTTTTTTTCTCGTTTGTTCAACTTGCTTCCGGCTTCATACTTTGCAATCAAGTTTGATCTTCAAACATTTAAATGCAATGTCAATCGTTATCTACTGTCTTCTTGATTCCTCTTCATTAATTGTTCTTGATCGTGATTTTTTTTTTTTTCTCGTATACTTTTCACATTCCGTGCGTCTTAGTGGCTTTGTTGTCTTGCTTAGAGTAAAGTTACTAAAAAATTAAAACATTATGGAGGCAGATGTAGAGTGAACGGTTAGAAAGCATACAATATTTATATTATTCGGACTATTGTCCTCATCTTCGTTGCCAAATTTATCACAACGTTTTGGCCGTTGTACTCTCCGACTTTCTTCAGGTGTTTGGAATGTCGAATTGAACCCGAATGAAATAAAGTATTCATTTCGACATTCCGACAATCTGAAGAAGGCCAGAGCGTACAACGACCGAATCGTTGTGATAAATATGGCTGCAAAGATGAGGACAATAGTCCGAATTATGTAAACAGTGTACATAACACCTCATCTCAGAAATATAGACAGTTAAAAGCATGTAAAGTTAATGTTATACTTCCGAACTGCATGGACGATTATTTAACTAAGTTCAGTAAATACCTTAAGATAATTTCATACACACTTGCCTGAAAAATAAATGCATATAAAGCCGCACACTGTGAGAAAACGAAGCAAATATAGCAACCGTGTGAGAATAGTTGATATAGGACAACAAGAAGGGAGGGCAGGTTGTATTAAGAAGAGAGCTCTTATAAATATGAAGTCAGCATGGGTGAGATATTCGGCCTAGG